TATCAGCTCGGTTATGACGACGGATTAGAGCAGCTGCGACAAAGGAAAGTTTATTATAGCCGACTTGGGAAATTCAAAAGAAACGAGATGTGAAACCAAACCAAACGTACCTCTCGTTCTTGCAATCGTCTCCTCGGTGATCTCGGGCCACGTGATCGTACTAATCGCTGCGAACCTCTCGGAGATTTGATGGATATCGAGCGGGTCATCTATGATAGGGAGATGCCTATTGCCTGCAAGGGTGAAATAAAACCAATTAGCGATACGAAAAACCATATGATTATCTAACTAGTTTTTATTGCTTCGTTATGGCTCTCTTCCCATGACCTGCGCCTATTTCGTTCAAATTGGGATGTCCTGGTCGACGATGGAGAACTCATTGACCAACACGAAGAAGTAGCGGTCTCTCCAATCCGGTCCCTTCATTTTGTGACCTCCAGTCACAATATTGAATCTGCTCTTCATACTCGTATAGTACGAGCCACGATTCCTCAAATGCTCTTTGGTCCTCCTAGTGTTGTTCATTGCATCGAATGCTGCCCGGCTCAAGGGGATGTCGTGCTTGATCGACATCACCAATATACTCACCATCAAACAAATCGTGGAGTGCAAAAACTGCGAGATTGGCATTTGTTTATGATCGCCAAACTCCAGCAAAAGTCTTGGGAAAGGGAACCACAGATGGAAATCTCTGAAGAAACATTCGTAGACGCAAAGCCATCCATTCGGGGCATCCCACGGTCGCTCCGACGGACTCGACACCATGAAAATAACTTCGGGGCCGATATCACATTCCTCCTTCAACGTGACTAATAACTCCATTGTCGATCTGGTCGGCATTACCCACAAGGGACTGTCGCAGATCAGCCTCACGACCGGCTCACCTTTTTTCCTCTTAACCTTCTCAATTAGGGGGTTCAGATCGACAATACCGAACTGATTCACCTCATCCTCCACGATAAGAGTATTCAGCTCGTCCGAGATATCCATCTCATTTAAGCCACCCCGTTTGTCTGCGTCATCCTGTAACTCCGGAATCAAAAACAGCTCTCGAGAAGACGCTTCTCCACCCATCGAAATTGCCCCGACCTGATCAGCATGAAAGCGCTCGGCTGCTACCCTCTGATTTTCTACTCTGACCCGCTCCTGGTAGGCCCGATCTAACGCAGATAAAAGGCTAGCATCAGAGGACCGATCTGATTCTTCAACGATGACCTGCTTTCTCTTTGATCGGCCTCTTACGGTCTGGTCTTCTTTCGCCATCTGAAGAAATTCGTCCAGAGAGATGCCGATCTCATCGGCCTTTTCCTTAGCCGACCTGATTTTCTTTGACTCCGGTCGGCCCTCCCTGATCTACACACTTTTACTCATAATTAATTGATTGACGCACGGTGGTTCGACTATGCCGGAGAAATCAAAGGCGGCAATCGGAACAAAATGCGGCTTAGGTCTAACCTAAAAATCTAAAAAATGAAGAACAAGAAGAGAGAGAAGAGAGAAAACCTTTTGATAGAGTTTCACTGAAATGCAAAAGTGAAAATTTGAGAGCTGAACCCCTCTTATTTATACAGAAATGAGGACGGTTATCGAGAATCATCATTAGCTCGGTGACCTTTCACATATCTTCTCATTTTTTTTAAATCGGCCTCTTTGTTTTCCTTCTCTAATGATTGACACGTGTCAAACCTAGTTTTGCATGCGCAGACCTAGGCTTAATCTACAATGCCTTTGGCGGGAACTTCAGGTGGGAGTTTTTCGCGCCCAAATTCACCGTCTGATTCTCGACATCATGCTTATCTGAACGCAAGGTAAAATTACATTTTATATTCTAACTCTTTTGGCAGCCGACTTGAATCAATATCAAGCAATATCTCTTGAAATTTGCCGAGTAATGTATCCTCAGTTGCCGATATTAATTCTGATCGGCCCATCTTACAAGGTTCAGGATGGCATAAGTAAATGATTTTTTGAAAATATTGATTTTACATACATAATTTTCTTTTTTTTTCTGTTAATGAGACTATTTTATATTAATTTTTATATAGTTAGCATAAATATCAAGTCAATTTTTAAAACAATTTAACATTTCCGATATTACTTTCTACTTTTATTTTATGAATATTTTGTAAAATATAATTTAATCTTCATTTTTTGTCCATTTTTATATTAGTTTCTAAAATAGTTAGCTTAAAGTTTCATATTTTTTTTGTTAGTTAATTTTTTTTTTAGTTTCGCTAGTTAAAAACTTGCAAATTTTTTATTGATTTAATATTTATATATTGATTTTTTTGTTAATTTAAGTTTTTAGTTATTGATTTTCATATTTGCTATTTTGTTAAAGTTAATTTAGGTTTTGTGACATTGAATTTTTATTTTAATTTAAAAGACATTATAAATTGAAATTTATGACATAACTTTCTTTAATCTGTTTTGTTAATTAAAATTTTTTGATCTTAATTTTCTATTCCAATATGATAGTTCTTTCTTTAAAAACTTGCAAATTTTTTATTGATTTAGTATTTTTATATTTTTTTGTTAATTTAACTTGTTACTTATTGATTTATATATTTGTTGTCTTGTTGATTTAGGTTTTCTGACATTGAGTGTTGATTTTATTTTTATAAATGTTATAAATTGGAATTTGTTGATAATTTTCTTTAATCTGTTTTGTTAATTAAACTTTTTGATCTTAATTTTCTATTATAATATGATAGTTTTAGTTTTTATATATTTTAATTTATTTAAATTACTAATCAAATTTAAGTTTTTGTGTTTTAATAAAAACGCAGATGTGAATCAATCATATTGAATTTTTTCGTCCTATATGGACACTCTCAATGACCTAAATCTTCAACTTTTATATAGTATAGATTTTCTAATGTTAAAAAACATTTTTAAATATTTAAGAAGACTTGTTATCTTCTTAGGAAAATTAAACTAATTTTTTATGAATCTTTCTTAGATATCTGGAAATGTAGTGTAATTTTGTAACGCCATGGATCTAGACCCAATAGGAAAAGGAAAGGCCCATGTGTTAGAAGTCCAAGAGGAAAGGGTATTAGGGTTTTCCCAGAGTCTTTCCTATATAAATAGAGGTAGAGAGTTAGGTTTTCCATCACAACTCCCAAAGCACTCAGAGATAAAACCTAGGAACCCTAACCAAACAAGCCGCCGCCACCGTTCGTCTTCGCCGCCGACCGCCGCCGCCGAGGAGAGCCGCCGTCATTCCGCCGTTCCTAGCGGCCGTTTTCTTGAGTCCTTTGCTTTCTGTCGTTAGATCCCTTAAACCCTAGATCCCTTTTTAGCTTTCATTCGATTAGGCAAAGGTGAGGATGTGTTCATGTCTTCCCTTCGATATTGTTAGCTAGCTTCTCCTGATTAGATCTGACTTCCAAGTCCTCTAAATCCTCTACAAGTTCCGCTCTAGGTCGTAACTTGTAGATCTGTGCTGTTTGCTAGGTTGTTATTTACTTTCAGAACATAGATCTAGGTATGGATTAATATGGTTGATTGTTGCTTGATGTTGAATATTGCTTGTGAGAATTGTGAATTTGCATTGCATTGCATATAGTGTGTGAAAGCACAAACTGCATTAGACCCAGCAGTGAGAGGCACTACTAGCATGATTGACGCAGGTTGTGCCTGTCGTAGTGCCATATGGCGCTCAGGTCGACGGGCCAGTCGTGCAGCGACTTAGACTCTTGCGGAGATACGTCCCCTAGCAAGGGTGTAAGACATACGAAACTTGTGGAGGTTAATCCATGGGATACTGTAACGAAAGGCGTTCAGTATGCTCGCTTTGTTCATTGCATATTTGTTTGTTGATTATTAGAGGAATCATTAAACTGCGCTTGTTCGTTTGGCTCTAGCTAGCGACAGGTTGGGTAATGATATATATGGTGGACCACGTGTATGCATTCTCCTGGGTAATCTAAATTACTGATCCCCTCCTTTCCCGTTCCCCCTTGCGCAGGTGAGCAGGAGCAGCATGAGTGATTGGCGTGTGATGGTGGTGAGCTGGTTCTCTAGTTCGGTCCTTGGGGTCCTTAAGACACTTAGCTTTCTATTTCAAATGGTTTTCAGTTGGTTTTGAGACTTAAATATGGTTTATTTAAGTTTAAGTTGGTTATTTGCAAGACTATTTGGATTTATATTTATGAAATGAGTATTGATTTGGAGTTAAGGCTGTGATAACTTGGTTGGAAAGTTGAGTGTTTAACACGTCATCTCATATGAGGAAAGGCGGTGTTACAAATTTGACCAACAAAATATACTAATTTATCATATTTAAAAGTTTTAGGATTTGATCATACATAATTAGCAATACAATCATAATTATTTCATAAACTAGTTAAAAAAATAGATTTACGCATTTAGAAAGAATCAAAAGGCAGACTTGGAAAACTTAAAGATACGAAAGTTGAGAGTGTGTATCCAATGAATACATTACCATTAAAAAACTATAGGAAATTATTTACTTAAATAAAGTATAAATAAGTAATGAATATCTTCCTAAGAAGTTGAGCAAGATTTTTGATTTAAAAATAACTTCCTAAAAAATAAAGATGCCTTCCTAAAAGACAAAATCAGAAAAAAGCATATGAAAAATGATAGGGTTAGAACATTTCTAGCGTCTATGTCATTTTTCCCTAAAAACTTATTTTCATGATAAATAAAAAATTATATTTAATTATTTAAACATATATTTAAAATTTATATTCAAATTACATAGAAATTATATGAAACAAAAATAGAGTTTACCATTCCGGCTAATCATTAATATCACTTAATAATTGTTTCAAATCATTAGGGCTTATTATAATTCCCCTGCACTTTCATACTTGGAGAAAACATAATTCCAAAAAGCTACCTACAACGGCAAAAATAAAGAAAGGTAGAGTCACATTGCATGGCCACATCTGTATGCAAATATAGTAGGTAAGGAATTCCTAGAAATAATACTTTTCATCACAGTCATCTCAAATGTGTTATTTATGGCTCTAAGCCGTGGCAGCGAGCTTGGCGAGAACACCAACGGCGATTGAGTTAATGTAAGTGCAAGGCTCTGTGTAAACGGAGGTCCACCGAAAATCTTGGAAGTTGTCTTGACGGTCGGGTCCTCCCAAGATTGCTCCGGTAAGCTCGTTAGCGTTAGGCTGGTTCTTGTTGTACCATTTCACGAAGCTCAATGGGCAGCTTAGTGGCGCGTTGGCTTCAGCCATTGGCACTGAGGCTCCTCTGTGGTGAGCTTGCTTTGGCGGGTTTGGTCCGAACCCAACCATGTACGATCTTCCTCTTGGGTTATGCCCTAGTATGTAGTCAATCTGAAATGTGCATAGAATAGAGAATTTTAGGCATTTTTCAATTATTGCATGAAAACTACATGTTTCCTTGCATCTATGTTTTAGTACATGTAAGCCATTAGGTATATAACTTCATAAGTGAAAACATATGAATCTTCAACTACCAAATATGGTTTTTCTACTTTTGCTAGATTCAAACTAGGTATGGTCATTCGTATATATATATATATATATAAACTCCAAAAAATAAGATTTGATCAAAGATAAAGGATTTTTACTTGTTTTTTGGCAAAAGCCATGAGGTGTGTTGAATCGAATTGTTTGCTTCCGCAATAGATTTTTTGATTGTGTTTCATGAGAATATCAGCGTAGGCCGAGAATAAGAAGGCGGTTGCCGTGACGTATTGAGTGTTGGCTCCATCCCTCAAGTGAATCATACCACCTAATTATTATAATCAAGAAGATCACATTGTGAGTTAAAACATAAATTTGGCTCTAAATATGTATGTTGATATATGGAGGCAGGACCTGGGGTAGTGAAGACTTGGTGGTATGGACTGTCGGGGAGATTCGAGCAAATGAAACTATCGGCTTGTTGCTTGTATAGATCAAGTCCTTTAATACCTTCGAAGATCATCTGCATATACATATATTTATACATAAATCATTTCGACCGAAGAAAAAACTATTAACTTTTGGAAATGTTTTATATACCTTGACAACGAGTATCTGCGCACCGGCGTACTTGAGATCCCAGCTAAACTCAGCGACGTAACCACTTATGGCTTCGAATTTGAGGTAGCTAAGGTACACCTCCTTCCTCGTTGCCTTGTATAGCCATGTTGCTGCCCAGAGCAACTCGTCCTTCACATTTTGTATAAAAAACAACATCAATTACATTGAGAACAAAGAGAAGGATAGTAGATGTTTGGAAAAGAAAATGCTTTTGAAGTTAGAGATGATATCTTACGTTGTAACCGGAGCAAGAACAATAGAAAGGGCATTCTCCGTCATATGTACCCTTGTGGCTCTTAGCTAGCTTGAAAAGCTGAATTTTTGAGATATTGATCAAATATTTAATTCATTTAATAATAATACAATTATTTATGTATAAAAAGATGGATTGTCTAGTAAGTATACAAGTTTGGCTTTGTTGAGGAGCTGGCGGGAATACTTGTGGTCGACATGGCGGAAAGCAATGGAGGAAGCGGCCAATGCAGCAGCGGTCTCAGCCGCAATTTCAGTGCCAGGATCTTTATCAGATATCTGCAACACCGTCCTTGGCGTTTGCATGTTCTCGGGCCTAGCCCAACACTGGTGATCCGCATGTGGATCACCAACCTATTTGATCATATTCATAGACACAACCAATTAGTAAATGAGCACGTTCATCTTTCTTGCATGATGTAAATCAATGAAATTGATGAACTATTTTCATTCCAAATGTAAAAAGCCAAGGTTTAGTATCTCTTAGAATCGTATTTAGAAACGAAAAAAATTACGTGAAAATGACGTCTAAAAAGTATCTTAAATATTTGGTTTGGACCTGAACATAAAGACGGTTCCTGCGAGAAGCACATTTGAGGAAATAATCTGTGCCCCAACGAATAGCGGCGCGGGCGTTTTCAAGCTCTCCTGCGGCTTTAAGTTCTTTCTCATATGAAATGGTCGACCAAGCCAGAGTTGTGATCGTGAACGCCATTGGAAGACCATATTTCACATTGTCTCCAGCGTCGTAGTACCCTCCCGCCAAATCGATCTATACAATATATAATCATTTTATGTTTTATGTAACTGGTTTTAATTTTAATAGAAATCTAATTTCTGAATAAACATAATTTGATGGAGATAATAAATATAACACAAATTAACTTACATTTGCGAGTTTGCCATCGTCAAGAGCAGAATCACCTCTCCATTGAACCCTATTGTTTGAAGGGAGTTTGCCTGATCTTTGAGCCTCCAAGAAGATTAGGGATTTGGTTAGGGCTTCCTTGTAATTTATGTTAGTAGCATTGACACACACAATGCTAATGAGACCCAACAGTATGGCCCTAATCACAATATTTCGTCTTCCATTATCCCCATGACCCATGATTTCAAATTTTAACTTTGTAATTGAAACACCAACTCTTTATATAAGAAGTAAGAACAGAAAGAAAAGGAAACTGAAATTAATCTTTTTTTTTTGTTTTCTCTCTTTTTTATGAATTTCTTTTTTTTTTTGTTTCAACAAAAAACGAAAAACAATAGCATGCTTTTCGTTTTTTCTTGTTTTTGTTTTGTTGTTTTATTGGTTTTTTTTTTCCTTTTTTTTTGTCTCCTCCCTCTGGCGCAGGTTTTATATCAGTTAAAGATGGCAGGAATGATTAAGGGAACTTATAATAGATTTTTCTTGAAGGTTAAGTATAGGTTTACTAATCTTGACTAAGCTATCGACATCCATCAGTCACTAGTTTTTGTCTTTTTTTTTTCTTCTCATTTTCTTTTCTATTTTTAAAATTCTTCATTATTTCGATTAATTTAGATCATATATTGTTTCCCTTCGAATGGTTAAACATAATTTATTAATTCATAGGAAAAGAAGAATTAAACAAAAAATCAATTCTTCATTTACTCCTAACAACTAGGTTTTTTTTCAACTCTGTAAATCTTTTCCTAATTTAGAATTTTTGAACGTTTGTACTGAGCCTGTATAAGCTCATTAGTTGCCTCAATGTAAATCAAACAGTGTGAGCTTGTTGAAACAATGCCTTTTTGAAACAATTTCTCTTTCGTTTCATTTGTAAGATTCATTTGATTCTTTAGATTATAGGATTAAAATTGTTTGTCTGATTCAAATAAGTCTAGTTCTCCAAAGATTGAGAAAGTCAGTCATCCCAAGGATTGAGAGTGAATAAAACTTTCAACACCATTTCTACTTTCATTCAACTTCAGCACCATATCTTGTTTATCAGTTCTTGATCATCCTTTATTAAAAGATCGTGGAGTGCTTCCCGATCATATATCACCATGATCTCTTTGTCTATCCCGATGCAAGATGGTACAGAAGCAATAATGAAATGATTCATTATCTTAATTCAATTCCACATCAAATAAGTGATACAAGGGTTTTCTGTTGAAAGATAAACTTAATTTTGGATCAAATTTAATTATTGGGTTAATGATCCAATAATAATTGGGCCAAAACCCAATTATGTTTAATCAAAGATTCTAGAGTTTTTTTTAGAAAAATCAACATCTCCACCTCCTTAAATATTTTAGAGAGTTGTAGAGAATAAATATCTAGAGATTTCTCAAGATAATTGTTGTAAAATAATATAGATATTAAGATAGAATTCTCTAGATTTATGAATAAAATATTTTAGATATTTTATACTTTGGAAGCTATAAATAGCTACCTCCTCTCTCCTTTTGTAACTAAGAAAAACTAAAAGAAGTTAATCAGAAGTAAAGTTCTTAAGTTCTGTTCAAAGCTTTCTTCTTCTTAAACTTGTCCATTTGTCTCTAAAGTTTTAAAACATCTTCTCCATCACTTACTACAGTTCTTTCTTTCCAACATTTTCCCACTTGTGACTCAATTTCTCAAGTTTAAAATCATGTCATTAAAGCACTTGGGGTTAACAATCCATTTGGGGAAGCTGAATCAAAGAGAATGTATGATGATCTATAATCTAAGCCAAGTAAAGAAAGCGTTCTTTGTAATTCTAACAACCTATGTTGTTATCAAAATGAAACGAGACAATGAGCAATGATTCAAAGCAAGTGATCACAACTCTTAAACTAATCAAGAAGAGAGTAAAGAACAGAGTGAAACAGAGCAAAACAAGTGATCACAACTCTTAAACTAATCAAGAATAGAGTAAATAACATAGTGAAACAGAGCAAAACAGAGATGATAAAATGATTAACAATAGGTTCTAGGATGGGGATAATCAACCTAAGTTGATCTCCAACTTCCAACAAGGTGTTCAAACAATCAATGAATGCATGATTATTTAGCATAGAACTCTAAACATGTAAATCAACTCAATCTCATGAAAGTAATTCATTTGAAAGCAGCCTAATCAAGATCTACTTCTTATTAGTGATCAGGATACCATAAAGCATAAAGAAACATCCGTATTTAGCCAACAAGCTCCCTGGACATCAATTCTCATGTCCAAGGATAAGCAAATCACTTAAGAGGTTGGTTCAGTTATTTCAACGAACACTTTTGATGCAAAGAAACTCTAATTTCGAAAATCAGATGATCAGCTAAGATTCAAGCATTAAGAATACGAAGAAGGACTTTTGCAAGTCTTAACTCAATCCCTCTCTAATCAGATCTAGTTTAGAAGAGGTTTAATCAATTCATCTAGAAGCTAGAATAAAAGAGATGCTAGGCACTAACTAAGCTTAACCATGTATGATGAAGAAGGATGATTCTAATAACCTAAATAAGATGAGATGCACAAACAAAAAGAAGACTAACAAGACTAAAGTAAGCAATGCAATGCAAGAAACTGAATGCAACATAAACTAACAAGGCAATGATCTAAATGCAACATGAATAAGGTAAACAAAGCAATGGAAGTGCAAGAACCAAAATGAAAGCTAAACGCAATAACTTGAAATGCAAAGCAAGAAAATGGAACAAAAGCAAAGCAACTAAAAACAGAGGAAAACAGAGCACTAAATGATCAAAATGCAAAGAACAATAAAGCGCAGGTTCAAGGCTAGAGCAATGATGACTTGGGGATTACTTAGTATCAAACCTAGGGTAGTCAAAACCAATAACAAGCAAAGAATATGATCAAACCAATAAATCAATCAATCTGCAAACAAAACAGAGTTGTCTAAGTTAAGCACATGTCAAACCCACTAGTGATGGCGTATTTGTGCAAAACCAGCATGAAAACACAAGACTCTTATAGACCAAACATGCTACCTAAACGCCAATATAATCATCAAGGAGAATGTTCTTAACAAAGTTCTTTCAGGCATTTAAACAAACACTTGTGATGCATCAAACACCTAAGATCATTTCCACCCTAAAAGAGTTACTAAGCACTAAGAACAACTAAGCTAGCTGATCTAAGCATGAATAGAACCAAAACTCCCTTAGTTATCAAAAAATCATCCCCAAATCTGTTCTAAACTCAAACCATATGAAACTACTCACTACACATCATAAAATCAACGAAAACAAGCAGAAAAGACAGATTAAACATGATTAAACAAGGACTGGAAGGAAAATATCAAAGGACGTGCAAAACTTTATTAAAAGAGTGATCTTGATCAAAATATCATCAAATCCCCTTTTGTGTTTCCACTCAGGTCGAAAATAAGATAAAAAAGAAGATAAGATGCTAAAAAGATAAGGTTTAGCTTAAATAAGTGAAACGATAAGGTTTGGTCAAAAGTGGAAAAAGTTGGTCAACTCTCGGATCAAACATACTGGGGTACATGGGCGGTTGTTCTGGTCGATGCTGGACCTGATACAGTCTGTCCCTGTTTCTTCAGACAACTTTGGTTGTTTCAGCACGCATCGGGCAGTTTTGTGTGGGTTTTGAGTGATGTGCTTCCCTGGTGCACCAGGCTGGTGAACAATGTGTAGCTGAAATCGCCCTATCGCTTGAACCCCAGATCCAAATGATATGATCCGACAAGCATTGGAAAGATATTGAGATCCTATACAACTTTCATGAACAACGTGGAAACTAAATCTGAGTGGAGAGGCTTCGTCCGGACCGATCTATAACTCGCATCCTGTTGAACCGAGCAAAGACCTTGATGTGTGTGCAGCTTCTAAACAGGTTGGTTTCATTCTCTTTGCATAATGCTTTGACTCCAGATGATCCTCCATCCTTCAATAAGTCCCCTTAGCCCCAAAACATCTGAAATACACCTTAAACTTGCAAATGTATGCAAATGTATGCATTCTTATGCTAAATGCAAGCAAAGTTGATTATAAGTGCAAATGAGTCTAAAATGCTGAACTATAATGCAAAAACAAGGGAAAAGATGCATGAAATGCAGCCTAAAATACTCTAATATAGCAAGCTATCAACACCCCCACACTTAGTCTTTGCTTGCCCTCAAGCAAATAAAAGATTAAACATGGTGATGAGGTTTTAAAATGGGAACTCATATCTTAAAAATGCTAATCAATGAATCAAAATAATATCCATGCTCTTTGTACTATAATGCAAATGATGAACTGTACACTAAAACTTAGCCACACTTATCACAAAATGAAAATGATTCTCATGTTATCAATCTACACAAACTCTCAAATCACTTGACCTTTTTAACATTCATTAAACAAGTAACCAATAGATCAAGTTTGTGAAAATCAAGTGAAAGCATTTGGTTAAAGGGATATGGTTATGAGATAAAAATGATCTCATTCATCAAAGGCTCAAAGAAACAGGGGATCTCTCATATGAAATGAATCTATCTTAGGCAAAATACTAAAGGTAAAAAGCACACTTATGGAAGCAAGTCAAAACTCTCTTCTACCTTTTCCCAAAGACGATCCTAATAAAGTCTAAGCCCCAAATGAAACCTCTAAATCTACACTTTCCCAATGCTCTTTTGATCTTTTTCTTCTTGAAATGTGGGGGACTTCTTCTTCGTTTGCTTGTGTGGCTGACTTCTTTTAGGGCTTGCTCTTCTTTGTTGTATATGCGCCAATTTTCATCACCTTTTTGGTGGATTGATTGGTCTGATTTTTTTCCTTTTGGATGACCTTTGTAAGCTTGTTGCTGCTGGCGCCTCTTCTTCTTTGTAACTTAGAGCTTTCTTCTTTTTCACTTAACCACAAGATACAATCATCCTCCCACAATATCATTCTCTTCTTGAAACCATTCCCACTCTTCTTTTCTTCTCAAAAGATACAATTCTTTAAAGCTTAAGCCACTTAATTCTACCTTTTCCCAAAACTCCTAACCTAGTATCAAGCTCAAAATGCAAGTTGATGTCTACAAGAGAGTGTTTCTTTGCCAGCCTTATTCCTAAAACTTTTTGCCAAGATAAATTCGAAAATGATAATGCAAGGCCTCACAAACTCTCACAATAGTGTTTAGGTTTAGAAGGAAGGATTGGTTCAAG